ATATTCATATTGAACTGCAAATGCCTCAAAAACGCTTAAAACAAATGAGGTGGAACAGTACGTTATGTATGTATTTTCCATCTGTATTTACTAGCTTAAAAAAAATAATATGTAAAGTATAACAAAGTAAAAAGAGCTCTTGTATCGGAATCTGTATCGGTATCGGCAGTTGTGTATCGGAATCGGATCGGAACTGAAAAAACGTGGATCGCCCATCTCTAATTATAATACAACACAAATCTGTGCTGTAAAACATCTATATTGTATGTTATTCAATAATAAAAACACAAATGAAAAGATAAATCTACCTCACTAAATTTTCTGAAATATCATAACGTTAAGTCCAGAAAACTACCGGTAAACATGTACAGAGAGATACAAGCAACTCACCATTGGAATTACCACGATGTCCTTGGAGTTCATTTCAGCTGCTGGAACAGAAATAGTTTATTTATACACATTTCTGGTCATATTACAAATCAAATTATTTGTAAATTATTTATGATAATTTATGTTATTTGCAGTTCAATATATCAATATAGAAAACATTCTAAAACACACTGAAGAATTTGTGTGCTTTTACATTATTATAATTTCACATATTTAAAATATATTACAGCTGACAACCATAACATAGCCCATCCACCCTTTTTCTGTACCCCCTGCCTATACAGTACCAGGGGGCCTGTATAGGCAGGGATGACACAGGGAGCCTGATGACACAGGGAGAACATGCAAACTCCACACACACAGAACCCCAGTGGAAACTCGAACCCAGGTCCCAGAGGTGTGAGGCGACAGTGCTAACCATTGCACCACTGTGCTCCCCCACTATAACATAACCATAAAATATAATCAAAACAAGTACAAAATAGAAAGCAATTCTTGCCTATGCATATAACACAAGAATTCAAAGAGGTTTAACATTTTAACTGTTTATCCTGTTAAAGAAACTATCTGGAAAGTAAGCACTCCAAAGGTCTTCAAAATCAGATAATATAATTTCAGGTGTGTGTTCAGCTGAGAATCTTTCCTGTTTACCAAAGAAAACAAAGGAATCACTAACACAAAATATGAACACATTTTACCTGTTATACTGTGGATGCACCGCTGCTTCTTCCAGAAACAATATATGAATAATGAAATGATGACTAAAATTGCTGTTACTATCAGTATAATGATGAACGGAGAAACTGTAAAGAAATAAAATAAAATACAGATGAACATATTAATCTGGAGCTAAAAATATGAACAAATTTTATACAAGACCAACAAGTTCTATAGGAAGCTTTAGGTTATTTTAGGTGGTTGTTTGTAGTGTGTCCATTACAAGGTGGATCTTATTAATGGATCTGACAGCCGAAATTCAGTTTCAGAAATTATATATTATATATAATTATATATTCAGAAATTCATCTTTTCAGGTTGTGACTGGCTATGTTTTTGTCTTTAGGATTATCTTCCAGTATATGGGAAGCTGGGGTGTATTTACTGTACAATGTTATGGAATTCCTTCTGTACATTTGCAGGAACATAGTATACTAGCAAACTTGCATCAAAATCATCATTTTCCTTGCATTTAGTCTACACTGAATGCATGCGGTGTATATTCAAACCTTTGGGATAATCAGTAGACATGATTACATTCCATTTTATTACATAGCAATGGGAATGGTTCATTTCAGTTCACTAGGTCAGCTTTCAGATTGAGTAATGATGTGTCCCATAAAAATGAGCCATTTCATGTGCCTGGATTCCATTTTTACTTTTTTACAACTAAAAACCTCTAAAAGGTATAAAGTATAGTGCTCTAGTGTTTCTTGTTTGCTTTAACAAGACTACACTACCCATAATAAAAACCACTGTCCAGCTATTGTTTAATTGAATCTTAGTGCCTTCTGTCCACTAGATAGCATGTTCAAAGTACCGTCACTATTGCAAATTCCCTGGCAGTTATAAGTACCTATTAAGTTATACTGCTAATCCATCTTCCAACCACTGACAGACGGTGCAAAACCTGCTTCAGGTTGTACAGGAAACGATTCGAACCCTCAGCCCTGGAGGTGGGAGGCATCAGTGCTAGCCACTGAATCGCTATTCCACCCTTATGTTAAATCAGTACGTATCATACATTTATGTATTTTGATGATACCGCATAATAAACACGACTTTAACAAAACATAACATTTTATAGTGACGGAATCCAAGAATTTCACAGAGAAAAAGCAGGTCATCGTAATTAAGCACAAAATACCTGAGCTGGGAGCGGGTGAGGGGGTGGGGGTGGGGGTTGGGTCGGGGAGGGTTGCGACGCCTTTTTTCCTGCAGACGGTGTTGGACGTGCTTGTGCAGTTCTGCACCTTCTCCTCATCCGGTTTACATCTGGGTGGGGGGTGTGCAAAAAAAATATACATCTACAAACAGCTATTATTATTAAAATTAGAATTGTAAAGAAATAAGCCCAGTACAGGCCCAGTACAGGCATTGCTGGCCTGACAATGGCCAGTGTGGCTGGGGCGTCTTACCTGCTGCATTTCTTACAGACTTCGCAGGCTTGCTCGGGCACACAGAAGGTGCTGGGTCTGCAATGGCACCGCGTGTCCTGTGTGCGGGTGCATGAAGCCACCGTCTGCTGGTCTGTGTGAAACAAAAAGCAGGCTGTTTCAGGGAAGCCTGTCCTGACAAAAGATGTCCTCAGTGAAGAAGGATATAGGGAAGACTAGGGACAACTGATAATTCATTGTTATAAAATGTAGAATTATGGCACTTTTTTCCCTTTTCCTTTCCTAGCAAAACTGTACTAGTTTGCTACACATCAGTGGTGTTTGGGGGAATGTAATTATGCAGGAAGATTACTGTATCCTTTTGATAAACTGACCATGTTCCATAATCACCCTCAATCTCCACTAACATAACATAAACCAGAGTTTACATTCATGATTGCATAACAAACTGAAACATACACTTCAGTAATTAACAAGGTAGCCGTGAACATTAAATATTATTTCTTGTATTTGAATATTCCTAATTGCATCTAAAATTTGTCCCTGACGGAACAGAAGTCTAAAAATATAACATCAAAATGGTTAAGACAAAGAATACAGTATATAAATTCCATAATTCTACAAGTGTTCAAATCGTGCATGAGGAAGACGAACAGAGAGGGATTGATACAGATACATTCATGACTGCTGGAAAGCCTTATTCACAGAACACGCCGGTAAGCACTGTCTAATTGGATTGTTTGGATTCCTTTAAACAAGTGAAATTGACTAGATTCAGAGCACAGGCTAAACTTAGTGACCTACTGCCCTGGAGCTGCAACCGCATACACACACTCTGTTACAATGAAAAAGCAGAACCCTCTTCAAATGTACTTTGTCCAGTCTAACACGAGCATATACAACTCCAGCTGTAACATTAGCTGATTAATCCTTAAAGATGTTTGAAGAAAATGGAAATTAAATATCCAGTGAGTAAAACAACTAAAAGCAAAAATGTTTTTTTTTTTTGCCAATTTCTACAAACATATAAGAATTAGGAAAAAAAACTATTATAATGCTAAACAAATCAAAGTGAGTTTGACTGTTTTTAAACACAGACACACACACAAAATCCAAACTATATCAAAGCAATCAATCGGTAGTTCAGCTGCCACGTTCAGATCACAGCCATATATCCCAGGGCTAGGTAAACCTGATCCTGCAGTGCTGGTATCTAGCAGGTTTTCCATCCTACCTGATGAGTTTCTATCTGCCTGAGATCAGGTGTGGTAGATCAGAGACCAGGTAGGATGGAAAACCTGCTGGATACTGGCACTCCATGATCAGAGTTGCCTACCCCTGATATATCCAGTCACTAAGGCAAGAGTTGTATGCAGCCTTATGTAACCTATATGTTGTGTTGCCTTATGCAGCCTGTCACGCTTGTTTAATATAAAACAAGATAATAATAATAATAATAATAAATAATAGTAATAATAATAAAAGATTGGGGTCGTGAGTGGCGCAGCAAGCTAAGTAGGACTGCCACCAAGGACTATTTTTCTATTGATTAATCTATCGACTACTGTATCGATTGGTCGATTAATCTAAATGATTAATTGTCCTCCAGAAGATCAACTTGACCATTTAATTTAAGTTAATTTTACCTTGACGACAACAAACTGTATGCCGTTACAGGGCTTTGATATTGTACGTGGGCTTTGCGACACTATATGAACATTGTTTTCACCCACAATGCAATAGACAGATTAGTAGAATGCCTAAAAATATTAACGAGATGCATATTGTGATGCCTGTGCGTTCTCTCCTCAGGTGCTCATGTATAGCGTTAGTGTCGCCGTGGTAAGCTATTGCACTTTGCACAGTGTAAAGCCACCTTTTTGTTTTGTGATAGTTTCCTAAAATGACATAGTGATGTTAAAGGAAAACATTTATTTTTATGAATTGAAGCGTATTTGAAATCATAACGGTAATTTAATTTAAAAAAACGATGCATTGATTTAAAATATTGATGTTGACGCATTTTCCACATCGATGTCATCGACTACGTCTACTAATCGCGGCAGCCCTAATGCTAAGTCTCTGTGCCTGTGATCAGAAGATCAGCGGTTTGAGTCACATGTCCATGGGCCCTCGAGCAAGGCCCTTAACACCCAGCTCCAGGCGTGCTGCATATTAGCTTACCCGGTACTATGAAGAGCAAGATGGGGTCAGTGAAGGGAAGCATTCCAATATACCTGTACCTTATAAAGCCTATATGCTATATGTAGCCTTTTTTTCTCCTTTTCATTTTACTCTGCCACATTGAGACTAGCTTTGTGTAAAGGATTAGCATAACTCTTGAGAGTTTTGCTGCAGCAAACAGAGCGTAAATGAAAGCACAGAAAGTATTATCTACATATCTCAGGACATACCAGAGCACATGCATAAGACGCCGGGAGAGAAATAGGAAACTAGTAAAACCTGAGCAAAGAGCGGCCTGCGTCAGCTGGGAATTATGATGAACATACATTTATTTATGTAGCAAATGCTTTTGTCTGAAGTGACGTACAAGTGAGGATCAGAGGGCCGGGCCAGCCAGTGTCTCTTTAGCTAACGTGGTTAGCGCCGGCCGCGCTCAAGGCTCCTCTAGTGACATCAGTCCAACAGCCGTGGAATTTGAACCGACGGCTTTTCCGTCAACAGGCACTCAAAACAAACAACTCGCAGAGTCAAATATCGCCACCTGCCCTAGGATAAACTGTGCTTCTGCTGAGAGCCGAATCAAAAAAAATGGTGCCGTTTAGTGTATTACCGTTGCGACATGATGTGCACGGGAGACATCGCAGCATGCCGTTTGAGTGCTCCGTGTACGTGCTGGGCTCACAGGGCGCGCACGTTCCCTTCTCTGACTCTTGAGTGCAGGGCTTCTCCACATGGGTTCCTGTATCAAAAAACATCTTATGTGTGGTTATACAAAAAAAAAGCACCTTGTGCAGAATAAACGTTAAAATGACATAGTGCGCTTATGGTGACTCCAATAATGTATAAACCCCGGTGGATGTGGTGGATCTATAGCCTTCACTTGTAACAATTGCACTCCCATCCTGGTGAATTGGTAATAAAAAAAGTTATAAACTGAAGACACACTCACCCCAGCATTTCATAGCTAATTGATTTTGAAAGCATTCCAATTTCCAACATTGTTTTTTAACTAAATAAGCAAACAAATCCAAACAATAAAACCAACCTAAACGATTACTTGAAAGTAGCCTAATGAAATCTTGTGATCTAATTTGGGACAAAAAATAAGAACACATGAGTTCCACTCCCAGGACAGGTAAACTTGGAAGTTTGTTATTCTGCATTTCCTTACCAGCCTCACAATTTTTGCAGCAAAAATTGTCATGTAGGTACTCTTGGTTTTCCTTGCAAAGAATCTGGCTGGATGTCTTGTTCCAAGTTTTGTCTTCTGACAAAGCCGACCTGCGACTGGGCTCAGCAGCAGAAGTCACGAGGACCACAGTGAGGATTAAGAGCATAACCTAGGCCAGAAAATTCACCCAATTACACAGGCATAGAGGGAGTCAGTATTCTCACAACAAACCATACATGAGCAATCACTAGTTTAATCTGAAACATCTGATTTGAACATCTGCAGAGGAGAAAATTAAGCAAGAGGTCTGGGGAAAGAAAGAAACACAAAGCAACTGACAAAGGCTACACTTGACTAAAAGACCACTTTATATACAACAAAATTGGAAATACAGTGGATTGAATGAAGCCCAATTTGTCACAACAATAATGTCCCATAACCTCGCTGCAAACTAGGACTATTATACACTTATTGTTCACATGACAGAAAAGTAACAAGCTCATTTCAATGTTTTGGTAAAAGAAATGCAACTCTTGCACTCATCCAGTCATTAACAAATAAAACACATCATTACAGGATACACCATTTTCTCATATCTCACTGTACTATTTACACATTTTCTACCAGCCTTAGTCCTTTAAGTTACGCCTGAATGTTATACAACAATGTAATCTCACTGGTTCAATTGAAATTTATGATTGGTTGGTTTACACACTTCTGGAAGACCTTTTAAATGTTTATAAATGTTACACGGTTTACAAACCATAGGTTTTTGGTACTCTTTAAAAAACCAATAATTAATAAATGGAGCAGAATTAAACAGGCCCTTGTTTTTCAACCCTAGGAGCCTGGAGTATAAGTTGAACAGCGCTGTTTTATTGCTAGCACTCCTGTGGCATTCCCTGGGAACAGCCGTGCTTTGTTACTGTAAGGGAGTTTCCTGGACTCTAACACCGAGGTTCTCTCTTGGCAAACGTCACTATTTCCAAAGACTGGGTAAAGAACACAGACCAATAGGAAAACAGGAACAATCACACCATTCTGATTTATCCAAACAATCTGGAAGTGCAGGGGAAAGTGAGGAAAAGGTTCAGTGGCCTTCTCTGAAACAGCGGAAAAACCAAGTAACATCAATCTCCAGATTTAACAACCTTAAATAATGTCCGGCATTCAGAATTAAAACCTTATTTTTAGTACATGGCTAGCAGAACTTGATACCCTCGTGTACATACCCAAAAAATGAAAAAATACCTGCCTATAAACTTAAATTTATTACAATTTCTTTTAGAGTCATTTAACAGATACAGTTGTATGGTGCAATGAACTACTGCTCACTTCACTACTTGTACGTTTTCACTAAAATATACATTGGTCTTTGAACATCTAACATTACTAAAGTAATGCTCTTTGTCCTGGACTTGTCCTCTTTTTGGGACCTGAAAAGCCCTGAAATGTCTGGGATTTGCTTCGTTTCATGCTGACATTTACTTTCTACAGTCAAAATACTTTGTATGCATATTCGTGTTGCTTTGACGCTTTTTGTGCCCTCCCCTGGTGTCCTCTATTTTTTGTATAGCAAAGTATGGTCACCCCAATTAAAGACAAATAAGGAGCAAACAGCTCTGTCATTCCATTATTTCTGGTGGGTAGTACGTGGACACAATATGTGCTACTGTCTAGCAGGCCAGGTAAGTCTCCCCCTCCCAGTTCCATTACATCCTGTCTACTGCTCATTCCTTCACTTCTGAGTCACCAGATTCCTCGACACACCCGTGTGAAAACAGAATAAACTGCCCTACTTTAAGCATTTGAAACACACAACCTCAGAGCTAAAGTCAAAAATCAAAGAAAGCTAAATATAAAGTAGATATAGTAGCTGTTAGCTTAATGTCATTTCCCAAGATTAACTTACAACATCTATAAGATAACAATGAAATGTTTTTGCAGAAGTGGTATTTATTTTATTGCTCCAGATTGGAAAAAAATGAGGATTCAAGCCGGTATGGTATAGAACACTTAATTAGGTTTCTAAGAACACTTAGCCTATTTGTAAGAAAATGGACAATGTCCAGTAGGCCTACTTTTAATTTACAAGAGATGATGCTAATCATAGTTGTCAGATAAGGAAATGCATGTCGTCTCTAATTATTGAAAGACGGTGAGATTGTTATATGGTTAGAGATTTTGGTCATGGTGGTGCTTGTTACTAAGATGTTATACGTTTTTAACAATACCTGAGAAAAAAATATTAACAAAAGGAAACAAGTAACAATGAGAGGAAAGGTTTTTGTTCTGATTAATAACTGATAAAACCACACAGCCACATGCTTAGCAAATCCAGAGAAATGGGAAGGAGATTAAAACTGGGTATTTATAATTCCCAAAAGTGAAATGACATGAATATGATATTAAATCAGAAATCCAGGAATGAATCCCACGGCCTGAGTTTTAACACAGAACATCAACAGACAGCAAACAACATATCACCAGAACACAGGAAATTCAAATACAATGAAGGTCCATGCAGAGATCAGAGGGTCAATCCAGCAAAAACGCACAAAGGTATTTATAACTTCTGGACCAAGCATGGACAAGTTACTAGATTTCCTGCATATCCTCCCTCATGTTAACCTGTTGTCTGAAACACAATTAGCACAATGCAAACTCAAAAAACATTTAATAACATTCTATGACCAACACAAACTATATCATGTTTTTTGTAATATAACTGGAAAATTAAAGAGCCACGTGACATTTATGTATCATGCAATACTTCTGCTCTATGCACCTGTACCATTACAATTTTATGTAAATGCATATTTTACCTTGAGTATTAGTGTTTTGGAAATAGCATCTAATCACGTCCACAGAAGTCACACGAGCAGATAAAGACTTGAGAAACCTAAACCTAAACTTCAGCAAATAATTAGCTTAATAAATAAAAATCTAAAATTCTAAGATGTGCAAGTTGCTTTGGTTAGATAAAATATTTACCAGTACAATAAAGCATCACTGAGACAAATTACGGTATCACATAATACTCCCCTTAAGGCAAGAATTCAACTACAATATACAGCCCAAACTGACCCACAATCTATTACATTATGACATTCTGAAACTATTCTTGAATTCTATTCTTCAGGGCAAAGAGTCCACTTTAAATACCAAAGACCAAAAAGAAACCATACACCAAGCCACAAAACCCAATATGTTTTTTTTCTATGACTGAATGAATGAACGAATGAATGATACAATGGTTCCTTTGAATATTTAACAAGGACCCTTAATATATGAAAATGGTCTTTTCAGCAACATTTTGATGTCATTGCATGTAGTCCTACAGACTTTTGTATTTGATACATGACTAAGAGCGATGGAGATTCAATTTGATAAGTTGATATGGAATTTACTGACAGTAACTTGATTAAAATCAGTTGAAATGTATGGACACAGAGTATCAATAATTTTAAGTTACAACATAAGGATAGTTCCCATTTTTAAATTAAGTTTAGTATGTATTTAATATGTTAGTACCTCTTAGTTGTCTGTATGTTTATTTAAAATATAGTTGTAGAGATATATATGCCTACACTAACAGTTAATCCACTTGGTGTTAAAACTGCTCTTCGAATGTCTGCAAGGTCAGCCAAACATACATTAAGATATCAATTCGACCTACACACCATTTCTTCCCCCCCCCCCTTTCTGAACGTGAACAACACACCGTCATACCTTAACACACAAACATGTACGTGAGGACGCCTAGGCCTACACGTGAGAACTTCTACCAATTACGTGTAAAACTCAAGTGGAGAAAGTTTAACCGTCTCGCAGAAAATCGTTTCAGAGCACTTTTAATAAAGTAAAAGATCAGCCTTGAAATTCCGATTTTTCATACTTCCATACATTTTCCACGTAGTAGACTACGCGTTCGCTTTAACTCCGGAGCCTAATCCAGGAAGCACAGGCAGGGTAAAATGTCTCTAAATGGCCCATAGTGTACGCAGACTGCGTGCCTAAGTGCCCTGCGACTGACGTTCTCAAGTTGTCGGGATACGAACCGGCCTGCAGGACAGAGGGATTAATCTCCAATATACATATTTATGGATATCCAATGCAGTGCGTGTAGTAACGGTAAAAGTCCGGCAAAGCACGCTACGTCCCCATCATTTTAAAGTATTTTCTCACGCTTAAAACTTAATATGAGCTGCTGTTCCTTTCTGGAAGAAACTGAACTCCAGCAAACATGTCCCGGGATTGCCGGGTCGCCACCTTTTGATTTTTGGATTTCCCAAAACACTTAAAACATAATCGACTTGTCAAGTACAAGTTGTCAAGTACAATAATTATATAACTTGGACCCAAATATGGCTTGATACCATACTGAAATAAAACTTGAGGAAGCTAATTTTCCACAAATCACGGAAGTGAAAAACTCTTGATAACGATCGTAGTGAGGTCAACTACAGAATTTTTTTTATCAGAAGAAATTAACCAGACCGGTGTCCGGTTCTATACTGATTGTTGCCAAGTATCCAATAACTTTTTTAAAAAATGGTTCGCTAAGTTTACTTCGTGTGATTAACTCCCGGGCGTTATGCACTAAGGTAGTTACTTACGTTATTCATTATTGTGTTCATCGCAAAATAAAAAGTCTTCATGCTTCCGTTAAAAAGGAAAATTGATGATAATAATAATAATAGCTACTTCAATCAGAAAACAAAAAATAATCCATGTTAGTCAGACAGTTTAGAGCTTCGTCCTTCCCGTCCTGACGATTCTTCTTTTCTGAGGGGAAGCTCCCTTTGGAGTGCTTCGGAGCATTGACGTCATACCAGAAATAGGAAAAAACAGCACTTCACTCTTATTAACCTTTATTACTTACTAAAATATCAAATATCTTCATACCTCCCCAATTAATCGTCTTCTGAAACTCATTTGTATTATTATATCTATACTTTTTTCTTCCTATGCAGAATATCAGTTATTTTCTAATGTAACAAAGTTTAAGAAATCGCCGTGTCAGCCTAGTAGTCTATGACGTCCAGAACTATCTTACTGTGTTTTTTTTTCCCTTTCTTCTTGCGTGATTATGTGAAGTAGTGTTCCTGGCACTACACCGTCAGAAAAAAGGGTACAGCTCTGATTCGGTTTTGTTCCCAAAGGTAAAAACGTTAATGTTTCCCCCAATGGTAAAAAAATGTCCTCTATAGTGTCCATTTCTTCATCTTAAAAGGTACATTTACCTACAGCTAGGGTACAATTGGTAGACCCTTGAGGGTACAGGTCCAGTGACAAGCAATTATACCCTCAAAGATACAAATTGGTATTTCTGAGACTGTACAAGGGGTTCTCATGTGTTAATATAAAAGACGTATTGGGTTCTGTTTTGCGATTTATTTGTGTGTTGATTGTGTGCTGCACCTCAGTCTGCCCATATAATGACACGTTTACAGCATTTGTCACGCAGTTTAAGTATTATCATCTGTATCTTTTTCCCTTGCAAATATATTGCACTTGTTTCTGATCAGTCTTTGGCACTAGAAGCCCAGCAACATTTGTACCTAATCTGATATTCCCCGGCAGCGGTATGCTTGTTATTACTTGTGCATTGCTTTTGAAAAAAGTGCCTGTCTGATAAATGATTATGAAAATTAAATTATTTGAAGGAAGAGCGAATAACTTCAGTGTCATTCCCAGGACATGATTCAGCATGGCTATTCAGCATGGGTGAGACAATGCATGACAAGACTTGTTTTCTGAGATCAAGACAGCCGTTTATATCTGCATTTACATATAAATTGCCGACTGTGTAATTAAAAAACGTTTTGTGTCTTCACGGATTTTATCAACAAAAAAAAATAAAGAAAAAAAAATCTTAAAATCTTTAAATTTCACGTATTGCTCAGACAGTTTGCAGGTAGTTACTGCAGTATATATACTGTACGTACATCTAAAGGGGAATTCCAAATATATTAGAAGTTTAAGAAAGGGCCTTTGTTTGAATGCATTATCCTTCCAGTGATATGATGCAGTGCAGGACTTTCTTCACTTTACCTGTGTACCACAAAGAAGTGATATGATGCAGTTCAGGGCTGTCTTCACATTACCTGTGTAACATAAAACAGTGATATGATGCATTTCAGGGCTGTCTTCATGTTACCTATGTAACATAAAACAGTGATATGATGCAGTGCAGGGCTGTCTTCACGTTACCTGTGTAACATAAAGNCAGTGATATGATGCAGTGCAGGGCTGTCTTCACGTTACCTGTGTAACATAAAGTAGTCATATGATGCAGTTCAGGGCTGTCTTCACGTTGCCTGTGTAATCTGTCCAGCCAATGGCTTTGTAAAGCAGAACTGAAATACTCTTCAATAGATTCATGGTCTCATTTTTAAAGTTTTCAATGCAAACGAAGAATTTAGTTTTTCACATACAGTATACTCGCTATGTTGAAGAATTTCCCCCTGGGACCAATAACATTTTCTAATCCTCCATTGACGTGTCAAGAAACAGCAGCTTAGTCTGTTGTTTCAGTGGTTCTGGCCCCAGAAGGCTTGCAGGAACAAGTCTTCTACTTATGCTGACCCACCGCTTGCCTCACTGAGTACAGTATCAATGGTAAGCCACCACTGTATCATATTTGTCTTCTTTTGGAGAACCACCCACTGATAATGGAAAGTCTGGGCCTTTGTCTGACGCAATCAGCATTGTGAGGCAGTTGTTCTTTCATCATCAGGTAAGTGACAATGTGAAAAGAAAAGGGACATGTGACAGGATAATCTTTGGCTTCACACACAAAGGGAAGTGGCCAAAACACAAATAAGGATGTTTTCCCCTTTCAGTCATGAACCAAGAACCATAACTGCCTGAGCATGTCTGCAAATGACAACAAATCAATTAACACATCAATCACTATTACTAAAGCTGTGGTGGACAGAAGGACTGGAGGCAGGATTCTCCTCAAGTATGGGTATTTTTTTCTATGTTCAGTTACAAAATTAATGACATTATTGAAATTATTGGATTAAAGCTCTTACACTGATAATGTCTGGCTAAGTATCTGACTTATTGTCTTGTGAGAAGTGGCAGAAATGTAACTATAGAATTCAGAAATTTGTCAGAAGCAGCAATATTTTTTTTTGTCTGGTAGGTTTAAGGTAATTTTTGTTCTAATTAAGAGAAATATACACTCACTGGCCGTTTTATTAGGTACTCCTTGCTAGTCCCAGGATGGGCCTCCCCTTGCATTCAGAACTTTTTTTAAATAAATTCAGCAAGGTGCGTGAAATACTCCTTAGAGATTTTGGTCCATGTCGACATAACAGCATCACACAGTTGCTGCAGATTTGTCAGCTGCACCTTCATGCCTTCATGAATCTCTCGTTCCACCACATCCCAGAAGTGGTCTATTGGATTAATATCTGATGACTGGGGATGCCATTTGAGTACAGTGAACTCATTGTCATGTACAAGAAACCAGTCTGAGATGATATGAGCTGTGTGACATGGCACATTATCCTGCTGCAAGTAGCCATCAGAGGATGGGTACATGGTGGTCATAAAGGGATGGACATGGTCAGCAACAATACTCAGGTAGGCTGTGCTATTTAAATAATGCTCAATTGGTACTAAGGGGCCCAAGGTGTATCAAAAAAATATCCCCCTCACCAAGACACCAACACCAGCCTGAATTGTTGATACAAGGCAGGATAGATCCATGCTTTCATGTTCCATCCATCCATCCATCCATCCATCCATCCATCCATTATCTGCCACTTATCCGGGGTCAGGTTGCAGGGGAGGCAGTCTAAGCAAGGATGCCCAAACCTCGCTCTCACCAGTCACCTCCTCCGGCTCCACCGAGGGAATACCAAGGCGTTCCCAGGCGAGCCAAGAGATTTATTCTCTCCAGCGTGTCCTGGGTCTGCCACAGGGCCTTATTCCGGCTTTCTAACTGAGCGTATATCCATCTTATTACGGGTTAGATACCTGTCTGAAAATCACTTTGAACCTATCACTATCTTTTCCTCAGTGAATTCTCCACTAGATACCTCTATAGAATCATTAATAAACTACTTTTTTTGCGCCTCTCAGGTAAAAATCTATTTGTGGACAATCTGAAAAGAGACGGCTACCTACAATGGTAGCAGTGTACTGTATGTGTGGCTGATTCCCAGATACCTATTTTCCGACTGCCTGAAGTTACACCCCCACCAAAAATCCACTAGAAACCCTTCATTGCCCTTCCCTTGTTGTTTATCTTACTGAAGGGCTCGACATGTGACTAAAGTACAGAATGACAAAAAAATGAGAGCATGTGTCTCTGCAGGTTAGGGCTCTGACCTCCGGCTCAAATCCAATGGGAAAGGTGATATGCCTTCTGGTGCCCTTAAACAAGGCCATTAAACTCAATTTCTCATGGGACTGGTTTATCCTGCTCTCTGATCCTCACTTGTATGTCACTATGGACAAAAGCCTCTGCTAAATAAATTAATGTAAGTAGTATCTCTAATAAATCATTGTTTTGCTGAACCCGCCATACTCCAGAGTCATGGACCTCACTGACTGCCCACTGCTCTCTAACTGCCTCCCATCTTGGTTACGGGCATGGGTGGTCCTAGAGCCAGTAAGCAGCACCATTCTGCAAATGTGGGGTGTATCAATGAAGGGAGAGGGGTACAGAAGTCTAGTGAAGGACTTTGTTCTTACTTACTAATTAACTGATGAAGAGCATGAGTCATGGATCTATGTAGGGTTCTAGAATTAAATTATCGTACCTTCCATGTTTTCTCAGTTGTACTTCTGCTATACGCTTTCTAGTCATTCATTCATTCATTTTTTCATTCAGCCCTTAATTTAGGTGGGATATTTTATAGGGATTTTGTGATGCTGATGAACAAGAAAAAAAATTCATGATACAGGATCACTAAAATGCACTTAGTCAGACATGTTTCAATCTTAAAATTGCTTAAATAGCCATATTTAGTTGCTAGGGTTACAATTTAATTTCACTTAAGATTTTCACCTATTTGCTTAGTATTATAGAATATTTCTCTTAGTTCAAATTGCTCAAGATTACAGTAGCAGAAGCCACCTGGGACATGAACCACCCCAGACACAAACTAGAGTGCTTTCGGATTGTTTGAATGTATTGGGTTACGTTTTTCCACAACATTTAAAACTAGCACATAAGATAGTTATTTAGCTGTAACCTTAGAAAATTGCTTAAAGCCATTACTACAACAAAGCAAAACATTGTGGTTAAACTTAATCTGGACCCCTTCCATAGATGTCAACTTATAGTCAATCGTGCATAATTTTTTAAAGAAATTTTTGATAAAATGTATAGTGACTTGCAATGACACCTACTGAATCTTGAATTGAATGTATTGTAATGCAGCTAAATATACTCATTAAAGGATATTTATATTTTATACCATAATTAAACATATTGTCATTTTCAACACTGGCATTCAGCACCAGGCCGTGGATGTACCCTTGTCATCATGGATAATGCTACCAGGGTCCCGAGGCTGTGGTGCATGGAACGCCAACCTAAAAGAATGTGGCCTAGAGGCTGTAAGGGCATCTCCAAATACACCCCAACTGGCCTGGGCATGATGCTTGTGTCCTGGCTGACCGGCCCAGATAGAGAGCCTTGCTGAGTGTTTAAGCCAGATGCTGAAATGGATTCATTGATGCACTATCGCTTAGAATGGCCGCATGATGTTGACTTGATTCACTGTACTCTAAAAGATGCAGCAGAAGATCTGTTTGTACAGACTCATCAGGCCTACAGCCACTGATCAGGTCTTCAACCTGAATGTCTCTTGAAAGTTTCTGGTCTTCTGGCAGGGGTCCTACACCTCTGTGGAAACGGTAGGCCCCTTGAAGAAAGGTAAAATAAGATCAACTTTATCGATCCCAGAGGCACCCCAGCCACTGCCCCTCAGACCAGATTCACGACATCAACCTGTTGAAGCAGTGGACTGAAGCACGACCACTCCCG